TCTTTGATTGTGTTATTTTAATTAAAGAACACTTCTTTTAATCATAAAGATACCTTCTTGAATCATTAAAGTTATATTAATTCATTTGAATAATTATATTTTTATTAAAAAAAATTATTTTTCACGTTTCAAAAATACACAACTTTCAGAATTAAGGCAGTCAACTCCCTTATACGGCATCTAACTACCTTAGCGTAATTTTATAACAAACCACTTTGCTAATAGAACAATCGACTTACCTATACAGGTTTGATTGTCTAATTATATTATGACTTGTTAATTGATTATTTAGTTATTGTAATTTAATTATGATGTAATAGTTAATTATTCAATTAATTATATGAATGTAATATTTTATTATAATTGTAATAATTTCAAAATTTTGATATTATTTAATGTACTCTCAACTTAAAAAAAAAAAAGAAATCATATTAATGTCTTCTTGTATTTTTATTTTAATAAGAACTTAAGTCAATAATCATGACTTAACAGTATTTTTTATTCAACATGGAAATCGAATTTGATTCTTTCTAATACAGCATTTAAGATTTAGAAAACAATAATAATTGAATGAAGATAAGACTTCTTTCTTTCTTCCTAGAAGAATTCTAAATGAAAGAACTCATCCTTGTTCATGAATTATTGTCCAATGATGAAATTTTAGTGTGTAATAATAAAATGTTCATGTTGATTAGATTTGATAATTTATATATTTGTATCGTATAAAATATTGATAATTCATGTATTTATATATTATTTTATACAAAAATTACATGTTATATTTTGTACCAATATAAAAGTATAAAGTATATTTTTTTATTTTATTAAATTAATATAAAATTTTTGTAAAAATTTTAAATTATATTATCTTTATATCTTTTATTCATATTATATTATGGTATAATATTTTAAATTATTAAATTTCTAAATTACTTTTTTTTGAATGGTTATGATGCTGATCTATGCCGTTTAGAGTAAAAATAACTGTCAAAAAACAATGTATCTTCTCTATTATTATTAAATTTTTTATGAAAAAGAAATATTTTCTTCTTTCTATACTTTTTTTTTTGTTTTTTCAATTAATAAAATATTTGTTTCTTTTTTCCTTTTTGAAAACTCTCTCTTCTCTCTTCCTATAAATACCCAAGCAAAACCCAAAGCTATTTGTTCATGCATCCCTTTGTCTATACAAATCTGTATCAAACTCATCCATTCTATCAATTCACTCAAAAAGAAAAAAATTTAAACCCATCACCAAAAAAATTTCAATCTTATCCATCTGTTTCCCTGCTTTCATACTTGCATAAAAAAAAAAAAAAAAAAAAAAAAAACCTACAACAATAACATCAACAACTGACAAAGAAAAAGTGGGAAAAACAATGTTTGTGTTATCAAAACCAGCAATTGAACAGTTCTCTGATATCAGAAACAGCAAGCCAACTACATTGTTCCCTCAAATCCCTCTTGTGGACCTGTCAAAACCTGATTCCAAACACCAGATAATCAAAGCCTGTGAAGAGTTTGGATTCTTCAAGGTGATCAACCATGGGGTTCCAATCGAATTCATTTCCAGGCTGGAATCTGAAGCCACCAAGTTTTTCTCTTTACCACTTTGTGAGAAAGAGAAAACAGGACAACCTAAACCTTATGGCTATGGTAATAAAAGGATTGGAACGAACGGTGATGTTGGTTGGGTGGAATATCTTCTCCTGACAACCAATCAAGATCCCAACCTCCTTAGATTCCTTTCAGGTGAAAACCTGGAAAGTTTCAGGTATGTTATCGAAACTTTGGGAAACTTTCCAACCAGGGAATTCTGTTTTTTATTTTTTTATTTTTTCTGTAAATTTTCTAGTCAGTTGTAGCATTTTGTGTTGTAGGGTTGTTTTTGTTTTAAACTTTTGGTACTGTTATTGCAGTTTTACATTGAATAGTTATATGTCAGCAGCGAAGAAAATGGCATGTGAGATACTTGAAATGATAGCTGATGGGCTAAAGATTCAACCTAGGAATGTTTTCAGTAAGCTGCTGATGGATGTACAGAGTGACTCTATTTTCAGGCTTAACCACTACCCTCCATGCCCTGATGTTCAACCTATGAATGGTGGCAATATGATTGGATTTGGAGAACACACTGACCCACAAATCATTTCAGTGCTAAGATCCAACAACACTTCTGGCCTTCAAATCTCTCTTAGAGATGGAAGTTGGATTTCAGTGCCACCTGACCAAAACTCATTTTTCATCAATGTTGGTGACTCCTTACAGGTACAAAAAAAAAAAAGCTACATTTTTTTTCCTAATCAAACGTAGTAGAAAAGCCACTATTTATTCATCTAAACGCATGAAAGCAAATAAAATAATCCAAAATTTTCATTAGTCAATTTCCCTATTTCTACGAACAAAATATGATTCTTTCTAATTGTCATCATGTACACTAGCTTTAAAAATGATTTTGGAGTATTCTTTGAATTGTTGATCACTTAATATCTGTCAATCTCGTTTACGGTCCCCACTAATAATTTTTATTGAGTACAGCTTAGCTGTATAAGCTTTTCAAACAACCATCACTTTATCCCAAGTACAAAAAAACAAAGGAAAACAACTTTTGGGTTATAGTTTCTCATTTTATTCAGAATTGGAACTTTGGGTCTATTAAAAATTTTCAGTTTCACTTCTTCTTGAGTAGTCTCTAATGGAGTTTTTCCTTTTTTTTTTTTTCGCCTTGGCGGGTTGATGTTTCAGGTTATGACCAATGGAAGGTTTAAAAGTGTGAAGCATAGGGTTTTGGCCAACAGTGTGAAATCAAGGCTTTCAATGATATATTTTGGTGGACCACCTTTGAGTGAGAAAATAGCTCCATTGCCATCTCTGATGAGAGGAGAACAAAGCTTGTACAAAGAATTTACATGGTTTGAGTACAAAAAATCTGCTTATGATTCAAGATTGGCAGATAACAGGCTCATGCACTTTGAAAGAATAGCTGCCTCATAATGTTTAATTAAGTCACATCTTTTAGGCCAACAATTATGATGTTTCTTTAGCAGTTTTTTTACTATACTTTGAAAGAAAAATAGGATTAGAAAGCTTTTATCAAAATTTCCTATAATTAAATCTAAAATTTAATTTAGTTAATTAAATAATGTAATCACTTTTAAAAAATGATATTCAGCAAATTTATAGTTCAAATATCAATACATGCAACTGATTTTCCTATTTTCCCATAGTTGAATTACATGTATTCCTATAGTTGAAAAAACAATGTAATCTTTGCTCTTTCACTTTTTGACTTTCTTCTTTGCTTCTCCAGCCTCAAATGTAACTAACCTTCATGTTAATATAGTACAATTTTCTTCTATTCCCATCATCACCATCATCATCACCAACCGTTTCAATAAATAAATTATGAAAATATTTCATAATTCAATAAAACAAATGAAGAATATTAATAATAAGGCTAACCATTTACAAAGATTCTTTATCCAAGTTTCAAATAGAATTGGTTTCAACAATCCTACTGGAATCTAACTTTTTAATACACTGTTAATTTTACTTGAATTATAAAATAATTGATCTGAAATAAGATGTATTTTAATTTTTTATACAGACAACGTGATTAAAATATTCAAATTTTATTTGTAAATTATTCATGGAGTTTTCAAATGTACTGAAAGTTAATAATTAGTGAAAAATAAAACATATTATCATTTTTTAATACAAAGAAGGTCAAAATAGGGAAGAGATTACAAAAGTTAAAATTTGAGTCTTAAATCAGCTAAATGATACGTTTTAAGGTGAACCAACTAAATGTAAATCAGATAATTCCTTCCCCTTCTTTTAAGACATGATATCTAGTTTACTATATTTTCATTTTATATTGTACAATAATAGCATATTTATCTAGTTTTGACAGGAAATTCAAGTGTTTAAGGGGCTCATGATGTTAAGGTTCCTTTCAATTCTTCAGTCAGGATCTCTGTTATTATGAAACCTGTTGTGGCTACAAATAGTAATATCAGAGGAAAAATAGAAGAGAAGATAGCAAGGGAAATTTGCCAATGATACAAGCATTGGACTCCAATCTCTATGCCAAAATTATGAAAGTGATGATGATTAGTGAATGAGTTAAGTGCAAAGTTTCCACGTTCTTTTCTTCTTTTCTTTTTTTTTTCTTAACAGTCTCTCAATGAAATTTGAATTAGGTTATATCGAGTGATAAATTTGATCAAACATTCTCCTAAACATCGTAACATTGGTCTAAAAATGCTGAGTCATAATCTATGTATGTCTATTAATTTAGTAGATTTGTTAATTCTAAACAAGATGCTATGATACAATATGAAAAAAAATATATAAAAATAACACGATTTATAATTTTAACAGAAAATTAAATATAGATTTGGAAAAAAAAAAAAGTTTTGTATTTGATATGTGGACATGACAATTTTAATATTTTATACATGTTAAACATGAATTACACAATAAAAATACACAAATTGCCAAATTTAAGTGTAAGATATAGAATTTTGGTGCTGTTTCTTTGGTGGGAGATATATGCACCTATCATTAACTTAAATATTCGGATGCTAGCTTGGTTATATTGGGTAACTCTTTGGTTTTCAGGATGGTTGCCAAGGCCTAGTATCACGCTTAGATTGGCAGTATCTTTAACTTTCTGATAAGGCTTGGATGTTCTTCGATGGCCTGATTGGTAAGTTGGTATGCTATTACAATAGTTCACTGTTTATGAATCTAATCTGAGCATAAATTAGACCTAATTAATTCTGTTCTTAGTTTTTTTTTTTTTTTTTTTTTCTGGATATTGCCAACGTAATTGAATTGACTTTCATTCTTAAATCCAAGTGGAAGATGCAAAGAAACCTTAATAATAACTTCAGTTGCTAGTTGCCTGCTGATAATAGAGGACATCAGTATAATTTCTTATGATGTCCTTTCCTCAGCTCAAAACAAATTCTGCAAAATAATAGAACACAGCCAAATTTAAAACAAATAAAACATTGATGATGGAACCTTGTTTTTTCACAAAGGGCTTCAAGAAATGCCTCTTCTATCCCACACCTAACCTTAAGATCATCCTTAATGGTTTACATTACATAGCAGAAGCATACTACCTACTGAGGATGAGATGACCAAATTGCTGCAACAATGGACATACATGACCAACAAAAACTGAAACCGCTGAGCAGCCAATTTCACAACAATTATACATGAGCAGCTTAAAATATGCTTTGGCATACTTCTCGTTTTATTTTGGGGCCTTCCTTTTCCACAAGTCTCCAAACATTTTGATGGCGGAGCCTTTCCTCTTTCCACTTCCAAAACCATCATCGTCATCACCCAAGCCAGGTGATCCAACATAACCTGCATACCCACCAGCTGGAGGCTCAAACACACCACCAAAATGCTTATCCATGGAGCCACACCTGTCTGAAATTCTTCCATTCATTTCCACTCCCCCAGAAAGAATAGCTGCTGCTGCATCTGCTGCTTTTCTCCACTGTTCCGTCTGCACCCTTAGTTTCTTCATCTCTGCTTCCAATGCTTCCTTTTGCACTTCGACAGATTGGAGCTTTTCCTTCAGTTGAGCTGCATTTGCTTTACTTGCTTCCAGCTCCTTTCCTACTTGTCTCAATCTCAAGGTCATTTCTTCTTCCTTGGCTTTAGCAATTGAAATATTTGAGGCCACTTCATGCAGCAGCTTTTTCAGGTCCTCATTTTCTTGAGTAAACACCCCAAGCTCCTTTTCCTTCTCTTCTAGCTTGGATTTTAGCACATTTATCTCATCATTTTTCAAAGCCAAGTCATGGAAAGATGGTTTCTCTTGCTCTGATATTGCTGGTGGTTCATTTGATATTTCTATTGCTTTGGTTTCTTCTTCTACTTGATTGGCTTCATGGACTTCGACCTTAGGCTCAATTGCTACCACTTCCACTGGAACTTCAAAAACATCAGTTGCTCGTTGATTATATTCAGGAGCTTCATCTCTGAGGCTGCTGTCTGCTTTCTTAGAATCTTGAGTTTTTTTTAGAGAAATCTTTTCATGAATTTCAGCAGGTTCTGGAGCTTTTGGCTTCTTGCTCTTCTTTTCCAGTTCTTCTTGAGCTTCTTTCTTTGCAGCTTCTGCTGAAGCCAACTGGTCTTTCAGAACCTTCAGCTCTTCTTGTGCTTGCCCTAGTTGAGATTCTAAATCTGCAATGCGGGTGCCAAGTTTCTTCTGATTCACCGGATCTGATTGGGAAGCTCCTCTTGGAGAGCGATGGTCTCTGAGCCTGAGACTACTACGATCAGTAATTGGTCGATGATGCAGAGGATCTGAATCAGAACTTGATGACCTAAGCTGTGTGCCTCGAGAGGATTGCCTTTGTGGCATTTCTGAGCACCTACTCATAAAAAGAAAAGCAGGAAAAATAAAATATAAAATCATGTAAAAGTTAATGAAGTTCTAACTTAAAAGAGAAACATCATCTCAGAAGAAAGAACAGGTAAACATGTAACACAAGCTGATCTTGTCTTTTGCCTGAATGCAAACCATTGTTCTAGTATGCATGAATGCCAAGATGATAAGTTTTAACTAGTTTTAACCATTGATAAATTATAGAGTCTCAAAGCGGAAAGAAAAACCATAATGGAATGTGATCTAACACAAGCAAAAAGAAGAGATTCTCACCTTGATCTAGGCATTTTGGCACTTAAATGTCACAGAGTTTGTAATTAGAAAGGAACTACTAGGTCAAAAACTTGTGACCTGCAGAGTTTTATGTGCACCAAAGAAAAAAGGTAAGAATGTCAGATGTATATAGACAATAAATATAATTATAAATTCAGGAGGTAATTTGAATGAAGTTTTAGACATGGAGATGTATGCCCTTAGCTTGGATCCAATTACATAAAAAATGTTTTAACAATGAACAAATCATTTTGGCAAATAAACTTTTTACTTAATGAAACATAGTGGGAACCTATACAGAGTCAAGAGCTAAGAAAGTGCCTATGTTAAATCTGAAAAAGTTTTAAGGGACATAGAGACAAAAAAAAGGAAGAGAAAAACGATTTCCCATCTTCCTATGTGACATCTTGCATGCTTTCAGAAATCACTCATTGGTTACAAGATGACTTAAAGCTGAAAAGCTAGAAGATTTAAACAAGAACTTGCATGCAATACGACAATGACATGGTGCAAAATGCAGATCTTCAAAATTCACAGTACCTCTAATAAGGAATAGTAAGAGGGATACCATATAAGAATTCCTCCCATCAAATGGCCAATCAGTAGAAAATAGGAAATACAAAATTACATGTAAATTGCCCAGGGCTTAACACAGATCAATGCAAATTCACTCCTTGTAATGCATTTTTAAAACATCTACTTTAAGTACATGAAATGCTGGATTATAAAACCTGCAGTTTTAGAGTGAAAACTTCTTTGTCAGAAGGCCTCACTTGGTCCACCATAGCCACGAAAGGAGCACATGCAGTTCATTATGGTGTACACACCATGTCATGGGAGCAGGTTTGCCATCAACTTTTTCAATTATTGGAGGCAAGTGTATGGCTTTTGACTGATTTCTGGGGTAAAAACTTTTAGCAAAGTTAATTTTGTACACTAATGACATAAGGATGATATCATCTGCTTGCTTCTCTTCATAACGAAAATCTTTGTTAAATGAGGCAAATGGCACTGCAACAATTCCAATTTAAAATTTTTGGGCTCTCAAATGCACCTCCTAGGATTCTCTTCTTTTTGGTTAGAGGAGTTAAATCCTTGAACCTTTTCTAAACGATTCCTCCATTTGGAGCTACAAACCATTGCCAAGATCAGTTTCTTCTCAAGATCCCACTTTGGGCTGCCCCAAATGACCTTTTATTGCTAGTAGCTGCATTGAGGAGAATGCAGGTAACATTGAAAAGGTAAGACACTGCTTAGGCCACTTGAGATATCATTGTTATCATTACCAGCAAACTAATGATTGTGTAAAAACAATAAGACTAGCCAATTATTTATGTGTCTTAAAATTTTTAGCTGCCAATTCTAATTCTAATGCTAACTACTTTCTCTTAAGTGGTTAGTTTTAATAGTAATAAAAAGCTTAGTCATGGATTCAAACATCAAATCCCACCTTGTGAAAAATCAAAGCTGTTAATTTTTTGCTTATTGTTTCCAGAGGTAAAAGTAGAAAGTCCTCCAACGGTCAAACCAAACCAAATAATCACAGCACTATCAAACAAAAAGCATATATTAAATGAAAACATCCAAAAATAGTTTTTACTTTTCCAATTCCATATGTCCTGACTCCTTAGATTTTTTTGCTGTTTCCCTTGCTTTCTAGGGCAGTGCAAAAGCTTTTTCTTTGTCTTCTTTTTTCACTACCTATGCACATTAACATATGGACAGTAAACCATTAAAAAAATGCATGGTCACTTAAAATTTACCAAGGGCATTTTTGTAGTTTGACAAGCTACATGTGGTGTATGATTAACGAATGAGAAAAAAAATGGAGCCAAGCATGCCTGAGAAAGAAATTGAGATTTACGAGTCAAAATCAATGACTCTTGGTGAAGTTTGAAAATTTTTGTCTTATAGTGCAGACATTCAGACAAAGTTCTTGAGTTGTTTACTGTATTAGAAGAATTTCAAAAACCAAAACAGATCAAAGTTCAGGAATTTACCCAACAAGATCAGAAATGGGTCACTTTAAGAAACTGCATTCTGAAGGAGAAACCAGCAATGCTTAACTACGTGAACAACTTGGTGGATCATATCTTTAAAAACAAAAAATAAATAAATAAAAATGCACCTTCAAACCTTGTTTTAACAAGTTGTTGCATGTCTGCATAGCTAATAAAACAATCAAAAAGGAAAGAAATTTTTGGTGTTTAACTTTCTGGGACATTGGACTTCTCTTTACTTTATGTGTCTTGATCAAAAGGCAAGTGATGAAATTGAACTAAAACATGCATGCTTCATAAATGGATCAAAACATCAAACTTTTTCATTTAAAAAAAAAAAAAGAAAACGAAGAGTGAAGAAGGTTAATATCTTACCTTACAAAAGTAAAAACAGCAATACTAGTCTTTAGCTTCTATTGTTAGGTGGGAACAAGGAAATCTTAGCCATGAAAAACCTTTCAGTACTCAAAGTGAAATGCAACAAGGCCATGAAGAACTAGAAAAGGAAAATGACCTAGAAATTTGTTCAGAGCAATGAAGCACAAGAGAGAAAGAAAATGGAGAGAGAGAGAGAGAGAGAGAGAGAGAGAGAGAGTTCAAAAGTTTGAATTAAAGCTGCAAAATAAACAGGATCCATTAATAAGATATTATACCATATTAAATAATAAGAATCAATAATAAAATGAGGGAAGGAAAAGGACACGAGTGTAATTTTGAGAGAAAAGATTGATAGTAAAAATTGGGCTTGGCCATCAACAATTCAACCTAAACCTGAGATGTCAATTTTGCATGAGGTCCATAGAAGTGAGGAAAGGATAAAAGGGGAGGGAAGATATATTTTAAAAATAAAAAAGTGAGGGGATGCCGCATAAGTTTTTGGCATTTGCCATGAAATTTGTTCAAAGAGAAAGATATCATATATCAGTCTTATCAGTTATGAATTTCGTCCATTTATATATCATTTGTTTATATTAAAAATTATTTAATTACTATATACAAATTAGAAAAAAAGGTTTTTCCAACTTAATAATCATGATTTGAGAACAAACTTTGCCACCTACTAAATTCATTTGTTAAAAGTGGAAATTTTTAAAGTGAGGGTTAAGACTTTTAGTAGAGTCAAAATCATGAGATAATCAAATCAATTAGTCCAGAGTAGCATCTATCTAAAGTGTTCCCAATAGCCACCAAACAACATCTTAAGGCTTTGATTTTTTTTTTTGTCACATTAAATGTAGAATCCAATAATAATGATTATTTTAGTTATTCAAATTATAGAAGGAATGTAGGTCGATGTGGTCCTTGATAGATATGTATATTTTCGTCATTTAAGGAGAAAAAAAATGGAGAACAACCTGTTGATAATAACCAAGCCTAGTCTATGACAAAGCATGTGATAGCCCATACAATTATATGAGCTTTCCTTTTTGTTTTTGAAAAAAAATTAGGTAAGGGAGGTTATCCCATTTCAAAATCAAATTATATTACAAATTTCAGCAAAATTTTATATTAAAATTATATCAAATTTAAATTTTACAAATGAAATATTCAATTTTTATTAACCCATCCAAACACAAGAACTTTTCGTGTATTAAGAAGAGGCATTGCATGTGAAAATTAATTGCTTTTGATTTTTTTTCAACCACTCTTATGGCCCCCGATCACATAAATTTTTAATGTCAAATGGCCTCCGGTAGACCATCTTGATGGAACAAAGTCATAAATATACACTAGACTTCAAGGATATCGTAGCTAATTCTTGCCTTTTTAAGGAGGAACGATTTACAAAGAAAGGTATTTCATTTCTGATTTCTCTCATTGTCCACGGATTGTAGTACAGTGGCAGATAAGACATTAAGACTTGAAAACCTTTACCAACTTCTAATTTGCCTTCGATATGCTTGTGATTTAACAAACCAATTTCATTTTATCACCTCATAGCCATTGCTGTCAACGACTTCATTTTTACAAACGCTTCTTTTCATTTGACAAATGCAAGGTAAATAATACTACTAAAGAAAGCATCATAATATGATTTTGTTTCTGGGATATGAACATGCTAACAAATAAAATCAATGTAGCAAAGGGGGTCCAAAACATTATGAATAGGATAAACAAACAACCTTTCATTTGCTAGAATAATCTGTTTACTTTTTTAACATCTATATATGGAATGACATAGTGTGAGGAAGAGGAAAGGATCATCACTACCTTGATCTTTAAACTGGTTGCAATGGAGCTACTTTTGCATTTTGTCCCAGCTCGAGACGTAGCTAGCTAACAGCCATGGCCAGCATCATCTATTCGAGAAACACAATCTCGGGTAGCTTGGGTATAAAACTATTGCCATGAAACTCCAGGGCCACGTGTCATAGCTCTAGCTTCAGCCAGAGATACAGCCATAGCCAGCATCATCTGCTCCTCGTAACTTTCTGGAACAATGGGTCTGGGGGAATTATGAAAGCTGCCCCGAATTTCATCTTGTTGTGGTATTGTAGAGATCCCACCAGCATCTTCTGTCACATCAGAGCTTGCATAGCTAGTCCCTGCTTCAGCCACCTCTAACCCATGATCTATGCCCCATTCCCCTTCATCTCTTGCTGGTGTCATCCCCCCATCAGCTGGCATATCAACCGGACTCTCTGCAGGAGGATAGTTCTCAGCAACTCGGTCCAACCTATTATAAAACCTTCTGCTACTACTGGGAAGCACATTGAATGCTGGCATATTTCCATTATGGTTGACAGAAGATTCTCCACCCATCTGCTGACGCTCAGCAAGGGCAGCTATTGCACAAGCAAGACCACCAGACGGGGATGATGATGAACCAGCCACTGTAGCCATTGCTGGTGAGATAAAGCGATCTCCTGAAGCATATTGTATGGAAGAAGCAGCATCTCCATGGTTAGAAATTTTCTGTTTGTTGTTCTCCTGTATCAGTTCAATTCAACAAATCAATAGTCAGATGCTATAATATAAGATTATTTCTAACGTCATCCTATAATCCTCTCAGGAAAATAATATATATGCACACACGTGATACTATTTTCTTACCCAAGATAAAATTATGTTTGATCAAGTTTATTCTCATTAAGGTACATGAATATATTGAAGTTCCAATCAAAGACAACATCTTTGAGGGCTACTGTCAGCATGGACCCATACAGATTATTTACCTTTATTCATTATTCAATTGGGCTAATCAATTACACCTTCCCACAGCACAATCATGTATGTGAAAAACAGCCCCTTTCTTTAACTACAGAAAAACCTTTCAATGAAAGAATAACCATATTAATAAGCACACTTTGCTTGAACTGACAAGTATGACTTTTCTTACAGCAGCTAAATGCTTAAATTCAGCAATTAGTTTCATACATAAATCTCATCCAATTTAAAAATATACCTGAATTGATTGCCAAATTGCTTCCATGACCATTATTTCCTCAAGATCTATGTCAAACTCATCATCCCTGCAATTTAAGGGTTTGATACAAGATAGTCAAAGAAGATTCAATCAGATTCTTTCTGGAACATAAAATCAACAATATATAACCTAGTTTAGGCCTCTGAGAGAGAAAGAGAAAGAGAGAGAGAGTAGTACTTGAGTGCTTGTGCAGTGTAAAACAAAATATTGTCTCATCTTTTTCATTCAAAAGCAAATAAAATAGAAGTTCATCACAATGAAATGTACCCAATGTGATCTTTCATTTTTAATTTTTCTTTTTTTGCCATAACTCATTCATAGAAAACAGGATTATATTTAACAAACTAAGAATGGTTAGCTTCATTCTTTTTACACCAACAGAATTGTTTGGTACAGCTGCTCACCATTCTCCATTCTTTCTCATTCAAAAAGAAAGCAGGCATTCACTGCTATGTAGTATAACTATTTTTATAGACAACAGGTCTTTCAGTAGCAAACAAAGAAGAATCAACATCATTCTTTGCACCAATTCAACAAAGTTAAGTGCATCCACTGACCACTTAGTGCTGTCTAAGATTGATGGGCAGCTTTTCGTCGCCCTGCGCTCTAGCAAGTATGTTCTATGCGCTCTTAAATATGAATCGTAAATTCTATCCAAAGAAGTAAAGCATCCAAAAGGTCTGCGTACCTATTTGCCCGAGGATGGGAGGGTTGTCTAATTGTTGAAGAAGCCTGCAAATCTAGAGAAGAAACTATTTCCTCCTCACCAGAGGAACGAGCTACAATAACAAGAGAAATGTTTGGGAAAAAAATACAAGATAGAAGAATGTCAAACGAAATGACGAATCAATATATAAGGAAAAACAGAATAACAACAAATTGAAACCTGCAACTGAACCATATTGAACTTCCCCTGGTGCAACACCAGTGCTTGAAGAACTCAATTCTTGTCTTTTCTGGAAGCTTTCTTCTTCATCCTGAAGTTCCTGCTGCCTCATTCTAATTTGTGCTTCTATGACACGTTGTTCTTCCTGCCAAATTTAAATAGCACAAAAGAATATTAAATTTATTCCTTATCTAGTGAAAATCATAAGATTTACACCCTTTTTTGTTTGTTTGGGAGAGAAGGGCTGTTCTTACAATTTGCTCTATCCCTTTTTCCTCTTTTGTTTTCACACCTCGATACTCCACAGCATAGTTTGAGGTTTTGCAGAAAGGACACCTCAAAATATTAAGGAATCCAAGTATTGGAATACAAGTACATCAACAACTAATCAAACTGAAATGTTTTACAGTCAAATTCATTAATTTGAAGGATACTGGGTAGGACGATTCGAATTAGGATTCTTCATCTGCAAAAAACACTCTGGTGCAAATAAGATGTGTCAAAATGTCAATCAACTAGCAATATCACTAAGTATCAGTCAGAAAAATCACTCATAGTTTACCTGTGCAAATACTTTTCATGCAACATCTTGATCTGTTGAGACTTGGATAATACTAAAATACAATGGAAAAAAAATCATATTGAGGCAATCAAAAGGTATTACAGTCAATCGCAACTAATTTTAAAGCAAAAGGATGAAAGAGTTTGAAATTTACAATTGAACAGGAAACATAACAAGAAAGCCAATGAAATAAATACAAACCAAAAAGCAAATTGGGCATTCTTCAAGATCACAACAGCACTCTTCCTCGCCTGGATAACATGGTGCAAGCTTTGATTCAAGTATCAGCTTTCTTAGCTTCTTAATATCCACATCTTTATGAACATACAACCCTTGTGGACGCGTATACCTCTCGTCCACCACTTGCCTTCTCCTTCCCAACTTATTGCCCATAAAAAATATATCAAATTTGCGTTCCAAAAATAGTTATCTTTCCTCCTCCTCTCCTTTCTCCTTCTACTTACTATTCGATCATTCTTCAAATTCTCCAAAACCAAAACTAACCAAAATAAATACACATTTAGTTTTGATTATTTGGTTTACTAAAAGTAACAGACACATTATGACAAATAATTAGATAGCATCTAAAACCCTAATTCGTAGTTTTACAACATAATCAAACGCACGCTATGGAAAAACTGAATTCTAATCCAAATTTACAACAGTTCACTATGTAAAATTATGCCCCAGGAGTCCTGCAAATGAAACAAAAAAAAAAGCTCAAAATTAAACATAGGAATCTGAATTAATAGTTAAAAAATGCTTCCAAGATGCGAATTTACTAACAAAAATTTCATTAAAATCTAACTCTAAAAGAAATTAACCTATCAACTCTAATTTTCACAGCTAAATTGGCCAAAGTATATTTCTTTCAGAAACCTATAATTCAACCAAAAGAATTAACACTAAAACTAAAAAGGAAAAGTGAAATCATTTCGAAAAACATATCATTCCTGTAACAAAACAAAAAGCAAACAAAAAGAAAACAGCTTTTGAATAAAAATCGAAGCAAACAAAAAAAATCACTATTTTAAAGGTAATTTGGGAGATGAAAGGAAACTGACCTTGAAATCTTGAGAGCAAATTGAGAAGTGAAACTGGAGACTTGAAAAAAGAGAGAAAATAAGGAGAGATTTTACTAACGAGAATAGAAACAGAATCAGAAATTTCTCTCAGAAAGAGAAAGAGAGAGACAGAGATTTTCCTTTTTATTTCTAATTTACGTATAGTATCATTTTCTTTCTTTATATATTACTAAGTACGTATACGCGTATTTGCTTTCTTCTGTTTTTCAGTTTTGGTTTCCTTTCGGCTTTTGGACGGAAACTTTTATATATAAAGGTTGAGAAAATGGAAAATACTTTTTTATTAGCAATATATTTTTTTTTATAAAAAATACAAATTTTAACTCTATAAGTTTAATAGAAATACAATATTACTTTATCTGAAAAATTAATTGATCCATTGTAAAAGATAGAGATAATAATAAATTGGATTAGATGGAATTTAGTTTAATTATTTTAATTAATGTAAAATATTTTAAAATTTAAGATTATTTGTAGATTGAAACTATTCGAATTATTATATTCAATTCATTATATTCATAGATTTTTTAAAAATAAAATTTATTATTTTTATATTATTTTAAATACATTTAAAATTGCTTAAATATAAAATAATTATTTTTATTATATAAAAAATTAAAAATTATATAAAATTAATAAAAAAATAATTTAATTTAAATAATTTCAATTTTTTCATCTAATGATATGAAAATTGATCCTATTTCAATTAAAATATTAATTTTGTTTCTTAATTTTTTTGAGTAAATTAAACAAAAAAAAAAACAACTAGAATAAAATAAAACATTATATTATCAAATTGATTTTTATTTTTATTATTCTTTTAACCTTAATAAAATATTAAAATTTTATAAATTATATAAAAATGTGATTACAATTAAAAAAAAAAAAAAGGGAAAAAGAAGATGATGCGGGGAAGAAAGGGATTATTAGGAAAAAGGTGGAGTACTAGAGGGAGCAAAGAATCAATCATCACCGCCCCGACAGCCAGCTTTACTTCCACAGGCATGCTTTTCTTCCTCACGCGCTTCCCATCGCTCGTCTTCTTCAAACGCCTTTTTCATTATAATAATCTAAAGTTACATAGAAGAATGTAAATATGTTTTCATTTTCTTTTTTTTTTTTTCATACTATCTCTTTATATATAGTATGAAATACATTAAGAATTTGACAACTTTATTTCTAAAATTTACATATTTGAATTAAATGATATTTCTACAATTACTCAATAACTAATACAATTGAAATAAAAATAAAAGACAAAAATAAATTAATTAAAATTTTTCAAAGGTTAAAATTTAGAAATAAATAAGTTTTTTTAATTTTTAAAGTAAGATAAATTTTGTTATATTTATAAGAATAGTACATTTGAAATTATTTCACTACTATAAATTTCTTCCTTAAGTCAAATTCTCATTGATCAAGACTTTGATTAAGTAATAATAGTAAATAGCTAATAAATTTTTATAATTTAAATTATATTTGAATGGTCAGTTGAAAATCTTTTTTTTTTGTTATACTACACCTTAATTAACTTTTTTTCTCATTTAAAAAATCCTCTTCAAATAAAAATAATTGATTAAGATGCGAGGCAATTCTTGGACTTCCTTATTATATTACATTGTCTATCTAAACATAATTTTAAAATAAATTTAATAATTTAAAATATAATATAATGATACGATATAAATATAAAATATAAATATAATAAATTTAAAATATTAATAATAACTATATATAAGTTTAATAAAATTAAAAAAATATTATATTTTTGTATTAATATAAATTATGATACATAATTTTTATATAAAATATAATATAAATATAAAAATTTTAATATTTTACATTATATAAATACACAATTTTTACTTTAAAATATAAAAATTAAGCAATGTTAATTAATTTTCTTTCCAATATAATTTTTTTAATTAATATATGACTCAAATTGATAATAAATGTTTTATTCTACACTCCATGGACAAAAGTGGGTAACTAATCTATCTCAAAAGCAAGAAGGATGGCCCATAAAGCTGGATGATTTTGTCGACACCTGCCATGAGTGGACCATAAAATATCACTCCCGTTTAGTTGGTTGACCAAATTCTTGTATAACTAACTCATGTCTTAGGTTAGTTTCATCATATAAAAATTTATACATTTTTCACATGAAACCTTCATCCTTTTATGCATTCTTCAAAGATTAAAAAAAAAAAAAAACAACTACTATATACAAATATATTTTGCTTTGACAAATCTAAGTTGTCCCTTGAGGATTTGGTATTTGGTTCACCCAATTGGTTGTGGATGGTGAACCCATGAATCTTCATGTGTTGCACTCTTATGGCTGATCTCTCTGCCTAATGTAACCCAACCTAATTAACCTTTTATACTTGGAATTGTTCTTAAGGAGAATAAAAGGGCTTGAGTGGTTTTCTTCAAAAATTGCATTTATTGTCCGAGATTTTTGTTAATTTTTATCTGTAATTTTTAAAAGTTGCATTTATAACTCAGCAGACTTTTTGTTAATTTTTCATTGACTTTCATAACTTGTATTTATTAATATTGCGACTCTTTTTTTTTTGAAATAAGATTTATTTTTTTGTGATTTGATTTAAGGTTAAGGTCAAATTCATGTTAACGGGACATAAGTAGAATTGTTTATGGACTCCTATAGGATTATCTCATACTCCCTCTCACTCCCCCATTATGTATCCTGACTGACCAAAGTTGGGGAACACCTTCGGCACCCACTCACCATGGTTTAGCTGGACAAGTCCATCACATTTGATCATGGCATCAACAACAAAATACTACTTATCTCTGTTTGAATTTGAGGTCACTTGTAATGATATTACCAAGTAGAACCAAAGGCCCTTAATATCAAGCCTGGCTACAAGGATTTCAAACACAGTGACCCATTCATTGATTACCCTTAATATATGGATGGTGATTCTTTCTTCCAAAGCTGCATCATGGGGTATTAACATGACAACTAAAACATTCATTGTTATATCAGCCAGTGCGGTTTATTAATAGAATATCGAATTTTTTATTTTAATAATCAGAATTTAATTTTTGATAATTACAAGTAAAAAAAAAAGATATTATGATTTAAATAGGAAAAATTAAATGGTATTGGAGATATTTATGGTGTGATGAGATCTGGTTATAGAGATGCCAATTAAAATTTTCTGACTTCTTTGGTTTCTTAGTCTCTAGTTAAAGATAGATATATGCTTCCATTTCCAACATTTTAGCCCTTTGATGAACCAGTTGAGCTGATGAACAATTATCAAATCAAATTGGGAGACCACAAATAATGTAATCAAACGACTTATAATTCATTCCACATTCCATAAAAAATTGTCCCCAGGAGGCATCTCCTTTAGCAATCTCTCGAATTCCATGAATGACAAATTTTTCATCAAAACCGAATCGCCTGATGTAGAACTTCCAGCCTCTGGGGGAATCCCTTCTTCTTTCTTGTTCATCTGCTCGTGATAAAACCGGCTTTTCGGTTTTGATGAATTGCTCATAACTCCTGAATCTTTACCGGTCAGCTCTTGTACCACGGACTTAAAGCTTGCAGCATCTGTCTCTACATACTTGGTGTTGATGATCACTACCTTCATTGGCTCTCTACCTCTTGCCATATCAAAATTAGCCCAGCTAAAGCTAATTAACCAGTGTAAAATCGAGTTGTTTATGGCTAGAATCACACAACTCAGGCACTCGAAATTTTACTAACGAGAACGTAACTAAAATTTTGGTATGGAAAAAGAACAAAAAAAAAAAAAGATTGAAAAGAAAACAATCTAATTGTTTTAAAGGGTGTGATTTGGTTCGTTTATGCGTATCCACTTATATAGGAATTGTGTAGAAAACCAAATAATGGAAACTTGTACGGAGGAATTAGTTGGTTTGAGAGATGAGATTATTTGACCGTTATGTCTCTAAGCAGTCTAGAAGGACCAAAGACTGAATAAAATTATATATAAAAAAAATTAATGAGTGAGTCAAAATTATATTTTTTTATTAATTCGTTTGCACATGACGGTAACTGCCTGTTGAAATGCGTTGTATATGCACTTTGTCAAACCCACTTGTAAACAATTGTTGGCACATACTCGACGCGATCCGAATCTTCCTTTTCTTCAATTCTTTTGAATTGGACCCTGGATATGAGGAAGATTGTGAGTTGCCAGCGATGCTGGAGATGAATTTTCTTTGGGAAGTTGAGCTTTTTCTTCCATCATTTTGTATTGTACATGTAAGATAAGGCAAAGACCGCTGCAAATCAAGACCGCTGTTGGGACAGAGACAATAGGAAACTTCGGTTAGCAAGTTTAGAAAGGGTCATTTGTAGTGTGAACCTGTTCAAAGCCTTCCTCCACAGTCCACATCACCTTAAGTAGTTCTTATGTACCTTTCTTTTCCTTACGAAGGCATCATGATCCTTCTCAAGGGGAAATCTCTTGGCCATTAAGAACTTGAGATTCAAATAATTTAAGCATCGTTTGAGAAGGGGAGGAAGTATGGTGAGAGCCCTGAGTCCGATGCCCTTTAGAATACGATGCACCAGTTGGCATGTGTGTCATGACTCAAAGAATCGGTTTTGAATCTTCTTAATTTCTTTCACATTTGTAGTGCAGTTGATAAAAATAAAAATACATTACTTAATATTAATTATCAGTCGTTTCCAAATCATCTCTGATTCCTTTTCTGCCCTCTTGCTGGGTTTATGCATGATTTTTTGCTATGTATCCATTACTTAATGTCTTTAATTTAATTTAATTTAATTTAATTTGATTTGATTTAACCAAATTAACTGTGTTTATATTGAATAGCTTAAATTTCTCTCTCAATTAATTTTAATTATTAATTGATTTGATTTTAATCAAATTAATTACATTTACTTTAGTAAATTAAATTTCTGTCAATTAATTTTAATTCTTAATTTGATTTGATTTTGATTAAATTAATCACATTTATTTTTAATCTTATATAAATATATAAAAACCAAAGTTTTGACCAAAAAAAAGATAATTATCCTATGCGGATAATATAATTTTTTGACATGTGAATAACCTTAACTAATTATCCTGTATCCATTATTTAATATCTTCGTTAATTTGATTTGATTTTGATCAAATTAATTACATTTATATTAATAGTTTAAATTTCTTTCTAATCAATTTTAGTTCTTAATTAATTTGATTCTAACCAAATTAATTACATTTACTTTTAATAGATTAAATCTCCCTTAATTAATTTAATTTTTAATTAATTTGATTTTGCTTAAAGTAATCACATTCATTTTTAATAGCTTATATCTCTCTTAATTAATTTTATTTATTATTTTTTGTTTGCTATTCAACACTATAAATATTATCTAATAGAGTTCAACTAAAAAAAATAATAATACTTAGTTGTGCAACTATCACATTATTACTAGCACATGAGTTGGGATTGATTCTCTCATATTCTTCATTTAGAAAAAGAATGTCTCAAATAAAAAATTATTTTGGAATTTAATCATTTTTTTTCACATTTACAATACTTGTAACATAATTTTTTGTTTTAGAGCTTATCCCTCCATATATATATTAATTATTTTTTGTCAACTTGAATATAAAGTATTGAATGTTTGTTTTGATATTTTACTTTTAGTTTCATTTAATATGTTAAAGTGCTTAAGGTTTATGTTATGTTTAAAGCAAATATTATGTTTTAGGTTAAATATAAAAATGGTATTATATACTTTCTGTCAATTCCCAAAAAAATAAAATTATCAGTTTAGTATTTTAACTTTCATTCCATCGTTCACTTTGTTATTTAAGACTAACGCTATCAGTCAATTTATTGACGTGATATGAATATTTAATAAGATACTGATATGCATTAAAAAGTTCAGTTAATCCCATATAATAAATACCACATTAGCATTAAAAGGAAATTTTTAAAAAAAATTCTAATTTTTTTAAAAAAATCTAAAATATTTTAAAAATTATTAAAAGGTTACGAAAATGAAATATTTTAAAAAAAATGAAGGAAACTTAAAAAATTCAAAAAAATATCAAAATTTTAATAAAAATTTCAAAAAATTTCAAAAAAATTTGAAACAATTTGAAAAAAAAATGAAAATTTTAAGAAAAATATAAATTTCTTAAAATGAAAAAAAATAAAAAACCTAAAAATATTTAAAATAAAAAGTCTAAATTTTTTGAAATAATCTAAAATTTTTTTAAAAATTGTAAAAAAAATCTTTAAAAAAAGTCTGAAAAAGTTTTCATTTTTGAATCTTACAATTTTAATTTTTTTTATAGTTTTTAATTTTTCAAAAATTTTTTGAATTTTTTTGGATTTTTATTTAATACTTCAATATTTCAATTTTTATGTTTCAAAATTTTTTAATTTCTTAGAATGTTTTAGATTTTAGAAATTATTTAATTTTTCAAAAAATTTTAAAAATTTTAAAATTTTTCAAAAAATTTTAAATTTTATTTTAAAACTTTTCACATTTTTTTCAAAATTTTTATAATTTAATAATTTAATAATTTTAAAATTTTTAAAAAATTATTTTTTTAATTTTCAATTTCTTAGGTTTTTGCAATTTTTTAAATTTAAAAAAAATTAACTTTCTTAAAAAAATTGTCATCTTTTTAAATTTTTTGGATTATTTATTTATTTATTTATATTTTTATGAAAATTTCAAATTATTATAATTTTTATAATTTTAAAAAATATTTTATATTTGTTATTTTTTTATAAATTTTAAAAATCATTAAAAATTTTTTAGAATTTTTTAAAATCTTTAGAATTTTAAAAAATTTTAAAAATAGTTTTTAGAATTTTTTAGAATTTTTTAGAATTTTTATGAACTTTTTCAAATTCATTTTTAATTTTGTATAATTTTAAAAATTAAAAAAATTAGAAATTTAAAAATATTTTTAGAATTTTAAAAAATTTTAGTATTTTTAAAAGTTTTTTAGAAGTTATTTAAATTTTTTGAAAATTTTTTATGTTGATGATAATGTGGCATTTAATGAAAATTTTGACATATATCAAGATTTTATTACATATTTGTAATATGTCAATATTTTAGACTAATAACATTAGTTCAAGATATTAATTGATAACAAAATCAAACTTAAAATATCAAATTAAAAATTTTATTTTTATAGATATCATATTAATAAAAAGTATCTAATTCATAGGTCATTTTTATATTTAATCCTATATTTTGTTTTGTTAGGTTCGACATTGCATGACTGTAAATATATAAATTTTGAGTTGTTAATAAATATATAATCTTATCTAATAATATGAATTATATATATATATATATATTATATATATACCTTTATGAATCGCACGTGTTTTGCATAAGTTTAAAACTACTAATTAATAATGGATCAAGATACCAAACGTTATTTTAGGTAAATAGGCGTTTGGCGTCCAATAATTTAGGGCAATTTGTAATAATTCATGATAATCATGTGACGTTTTTTTTTTAATAGAAAGAGAAATATACAAAAAAAAATTTGCGAGGAACAAGGTAGATTACATACAAAGGTTAATTATGGATTCAAAGCTGCCTTATCAAAAAAAAAAAAAAAAGAAAAGAAATTTGATATTTCAGTAATCATAAAGAAATATATTAAAATTATATAAAGCAAAAGAACATTGGGCATTTAATTTTTTTTCTTGGCAAAAAAATAGATGAAATAATATTACACCAAAGCCATATTCTAAAAGATTGGAGAAATTTAACTATACCATAGGTTTTATTTAAAATTTAAATTGAATTTACATTCATATAATTACTGATGACAAGAATTAAATTTAAATCTTATTAATAAAATATTTTTTTTTACCGATTCAATTAATCTTTGTTAATGTTCAAAATAAACATTTAGTAAATTTAACAATTTAAAAATGATCTAAAGTAGAATCATGTGTTAAAATAAATTGATTTTAAAAAAAAATTAAGGGACCAAATATAAAGTATTTATTTAAAAAAAAAAAAAAAACAATTCACGCCACTAAATGTGCAAGAGGGACGTTCATGACTTAACCTTTGTTTAACTGATTAAAGGCTTTGATTTTAAAAATCAAGAAAATTAAGAAGTAACCATAAAAGGGCCTTTTAGAATCATGTTGATTTAAGATCCTTTAAAACTTTCTATGTAAAAATTGGAAAGAAATCAGTGACATCCTTCAAACAAGAAAGATGATCAAAACTTACCAAAAAATCCAAGAACCATTTGCCCCAGAATTTGGAAAAAAATTAAAAACTTATTTAGAAAATTCGTTTGTCAACCCCAAATATATGACCACATTTAAATTGGACCCAATGTTGTTTTTAGAACACCAAAATTAAACAAACGTGGGAATATTACCAGAGATGGCTCTGAAGCTTGGTTTTGCTAGAGTTTTCTGCGCATTATTATCTCTATTGGTATCCTTTCCCAGAGCTCATAATGCCAAGATTTTCAATGTAAGAAATTATGGTGCTATTACCGATGGCCGAACAGACAACAGAAAGGCAAGTACCAATGTTTGGTTTTTGCAATGTACATTTTTATGTGATCTTTCGCCATTTCTTCATATTTACTTTCTGTGAGTGATATTTTTATGTGTGTATGTATATTTATTAGGCTTTTTTGAAAGCATGGAACGAAGCTTGCAATCAGAAAGGAATTTCGACGGTTTATATCCCTAAAGGAGTTTACATGTTGGGAACAGTGGAATTTTCAGGTCCATGCAAAGGTCCAATAACGTTTTTGATGACTGGAGATTTAATGGCTCCAACAGGACCTTCTTTTGGTACAGAGAAATGGATAGCTTTTCGATATGTAAATAAGTTGATAGTGAAAGGAGGTGGAACATTGGATGGTCAAGGAGCCTCTGCTTGGCCTTTCAATGATTGTGACAAGAACACTAATTGCAAGTCTCTTCCTATTGTGAGTATAATTTTTAGTTTATTTCTTTTCTATATCAATGGTTAATTGTTGAGATTTCTTCTTAATTTTTTTTTGTTTATAGAAAAATGGATATCTAACTTTCTGGTGGCATGATAATTTCAGTCAATAAGATTCGACTTTGTGACAAATTCTAGGATTAAGTACATAAGATCAGTCAACAGCAAAAATGCTCATATCACTTTGTTCGCATGCAAGAAGGTAAATGTATCAAAAATTGAATTATCAGCTCCAGCTGACAGCCCCAACACAGATGGAATCAAGATAGGAAGCTCGACTGACATCCGAATTTCGAGCTCTAAAATAAGCACCGGCGATGATTGCATTGCCATCCTCTCCGGAAGCACAAACATCGACATCTCCTACGTTTATTGTGGCCCTGGACATGGAATCAGCGTAGGAAGCCTTGGCAAGTTCCGGGGTGAAGACAATGTGAAGGGCTTGGTTGTAAGGCGTTGTACTTTCAGTGGAACAGACAATGGTGTTAGAATAAAGACCTGGGAATCTCCCTGGAGAAGCACTGCTTCCAATTTCATATTTGAAGACATTTTCATGGACAAAGTTCGCAATCCAATCATTGTTGATCAGACATATTGCCCACATACGCCATGCAATCAGCGGGTAATTAAAATAGATTTAATTCTAATGAAAAATGTTTCCTTACATATATATATTTGAGATTATCAAGGATTGAATTATGGTCATAGAAATTAATTAAAAGTTTAGCACTTTCGCTTGATTACTATATAATTTTGCATCAAAATTTCATGAATTAATGCTGGTCTTGGTTTGCAGACAGCCTCCCATGTCCAAATTGAAGATGTCACATACAGAAATATATGGGGCACATCAAGTTCACAAATTGCAGTTTCTATGCAATGCAGCAAAAACTTCCCATGCAAAAACATAGTGATGAAGGACATCAATTTGGCTAATCTTGGACGTGAAGGACCTTTAAAATCTTGGTGCTCATACGTCAATGGCCGTGTCTATGGCCGACAAAATCCTCCCCCTTGCTTTTAGCAGTACTCTTGCAGCATTTCCGCTTCCAAATTCCTGCTTCATGACTAGTCTGCTAGTCACTCTCCACTTGACTCAGAGTCGGTTCCAAATTTTTATTGAATATAGCATCTAGCTTTCTCTCTTTCCCCTTTTTTAATTAAAAAAAATTGTACATTACTGTTTTAGAATTGATAGTTTGTACATAAAAAATTGGTTTTATAGTTTAAATTGACAAAAAAGAAGGGAAAAAAAAGTAGTGGGGAAAATTAATCTGGCTAACTAGACAGGTATCACCACCTAATGAAAAACAACGTGGTGGTACTATATCTTTGGTTCCTCGCTCAGCATGAGCATGCTTATAGTCATTATTAGAAATACATGGAAACTTGCAGCAAAACTCAACATGACATTGTCAAAACAAAGGGATGGAATAAGGTAAAAAGGTTTTCAAGATCAAGTTTCAATCCGAAGCATGGTCACCATATCTTCAGTCAAAGATAAAAAAGTGCAACTGTTGCTACAGAAAAGATGGAAATTATGAAACAATGTTTCACCATCCCTTCAACACAACAAAGTTTCTCTCCATTGGGAAGTCACTCAATTCCATCCATGGATCTTAAAAGGCTTCGTTGATCAGTTAATGCAATGTTTAACGGGGAACTTGTGGCCTCACAGGTGTCTTTGAAGGACTTACCCTGTTAGATTGAAATATAAAAGCATTAGCTTAATAGATGACAAATTGACAAGCATGGAAACAATTCAGGAACACACCTGACGGGCTGGGTTCCTAGCGCCGTCCCACTACAATTTAGTGCAATTATGGCACTTTCCGCCTGTCCATAAAGGGGAAAATTATTAGTCTTGAGTCAAGGAGCAAAACTTAAGAAACTTGAAGACCTCTATAACATTTATAGATTATGAAACTTAACCCAGAGATACAATCATTGAAAACACTCAAGAGGTGTGCATTTTCCAAAACAGTGACATGACTCCATCCAACAAAGCAAAATGTAGAAATCTAAAAGCATTTGACATTAAAGGTAGTACCAATATTACTATTACAATATTTTCAGTAGGGAGACCTAACCATCTAATCTTGATATCATTACTGATGCTCAATGCCAACTGCAATCAGATAAAGGGATTAAAACCCGAAATAGATTTACCAAAAACAGATGAATAGATCATAATTCGATAGACTAATAGGTTAATCTATGATTCGCAGCACAGGCTAAGAAGGAAAGGTTAGCAGTGAAGACATTTCAACATGTAACAAGACTTCAAGCAACAGCTAATCTCAGGATCTTGTAGGTAATAGCATCCACAGTCCTCAAATTTTGATCCAAATTCTATGTTAGTATCCAAACTTTAAACCATTCTAATTGGATCCTTAATTGTCCAGAGTTATATTGTTTCAGTCATTCTGTTTATGAAACAGTCTAAATTAATCGCAAATGTTAACTAGCATCACGTGATAATATCAATTAGCATCTCCTGTGATAGATGAAAAATCGAAATAGAATTTTTTAAAATTTTAGGGACCAAAGATGAAATTATCTCAAAATTTTATATATTTCATATATATTTTATAAATTTTTATATTTTTTATAATATAATTTATTAGTTATTTTTTAATAGAAAATAGTTTTTAAAAATTAAAATTAAGTTAAAAATTCAAAATTCTTTGAAAAATTCAATATCATTTTAAAAACAAAAAAATTATTTTCTATTAAAACGATTATTTTATTCATAAATCATAATAAAATATTATTTTTTATTCGTAAAATATATTTTTTAAAATATTAAATATTTTTTATTTTCTTTTTTCAAATATATTTTATAAAAAATAAATAAGCAAAAGATAAAAATAATTCAAAACAATTAATTTTTTTATATATTTCAAATATAATTTATAAATATTATAATTTAAAATAATTTTTAAATTTTTATTATGATATGATTTATTAATAAAATAATATTTTTAATACAAAATAAATTTTAAAAAAATTAAAATTACGTAGAAATTTTCAAAATAATTTTGTTAAAATTACAAATCATTTTAAAAAAATAAGTAAAAAATTTTTATATCGAATTAAGAAATTAAATAAAAATTCTATATCATTTTAAAATATTATGTTAAAACTAAAGTTTTTTAAAGTTTAAGAATCAAAATAGAATTTGAATCAAAATTTACATTATGTTTGGATTGAGGGGAAGGAAAGGAAAGAAAAAAAAAAAAAAAGAAAGTAATAAAAATAAAAAAATCTTTCCTTTGTTTGAATAAACTTTTAATTTAAAGAAAAGAAAAAAGTTAAAAACTCAATAACCTTTGGTTTCCCTTGTAATCCTCATTTTTTTAATACCCAAATTTGGGAAAAAAGCTAAGGAAAGGAAAATTTATTATTATTTTTTTTTATAAAAAGACTAGTATATCCATCCTTTTATTAATATTAAAAACCTAGTTAAACAAACCTAACCACATCAAAATTTTCCTATAGTTTTTTTAAAGTCATCTCTTTTTTCAAATAAGTTTCACATGTCACTTCTAATATAAAATTTTTCAAAATTTTTTTGATGATTTGATTTTGATAAATGATTAAATATTAATAGACATATTTTTTTGGATTTATGAGATGTAATGTTTCTAATGTAAATTTCTTCATAAGAGGTGAAGTTTTCGCTCAAAGAAGGTCGCTAATAGAAGGAAAATTTGGCAATAATTTGGGAAATGGGCAGCAGCTGTTTTGAGAGAGAGAGCAGTGGTGAGGAATTAAAATAAAAAAAAAAAACACTACGAAGGAATTGCAAATATGTTCAAAAATTAGAAAGAAATTGTGAATGAAGGCTGATTTTAGTCAAACATATCAAATGATTTAAAGCATACGGGGAAAAATTGGAGTGGCTACAATTGCACAAAAAGTTTGCAAACAGACGCAGATGACATATTATAAATAATTTTAACAACTTGAAAAAGTAAAATATTTAGAATCAGACCCAGAAACATAGTTTTCAAAACATTATAAACATATTTGAAACACTTCTGATCCAAATATTTTTCAACATCAATCCTGTAAACATGAACTTACCATGGCAAATTCAACAAAAGCAATACGGGTTGAATGCACATGATCCCCTAAGAGCCTCAAGTGAGTGACCTGCGAATTAAAAGAAAATGATGTCAACCTTCAAATGCTCTCTACCTTTAATCTTGTCAAAAACCATTAGAAAAAGGTGTGCATAGTATGGATACTGCACTAACCTCACCACAAGCTGATTCAAAGAAATTCTTCACATCAGCTTGAGAAACCTTCAGTCAAAGTGAAAATGCTCATTGAGGATTAGATCGATTAAGTTATATTAATAGTGTATATGCTTGTGGAAGAGATGATAACCAATTACAGAAGTGATAGAAGTCCGGAACTCAAACATTCATGAGAGCAAACAAGGGGGTTACCTTCTTGTCAATATTTGTACAATAAACAGTCCTGAAACACATTTCCCTTTCATCTTCTGACTGAAATTGTAGTTATTTTGATTATCAACATTGAGGCTAGAAAGAAAAATATAGAGAGAAACTCCAAGAGCCACTTAGCAATGGTGAAACAGCATAGGATAAAGTGAAGTCTTACGCAAAACTGAGACAGTTAAGAGTCAGAAAGTTATTCATCCGTACCCTAGGGAGAAATTTAGGGTTCACAGGAAGGATGGCAGTTTTTGAAGGCAAGACTGTAACTGGATAAAACCCTAGCCTTGTCCCACCAAGGTTCAAAGCAGCTCTTGCACCTTCTGTGGAAACAAAGTTCATATGAAATGTAACATATGAATAAATGTACATCGATTTATAAAAGAAAAGTTTAAGTTCGATCCATAGCAGCTGCTTACCTTCATCTGCAAATTCCACAAATGCGAAGCGAAGAACTGAATGTGGATCACCACAAACTCGGCAATCAACAACCTTCAATAATAATTCCCGAACCACTTTAGAAATGTCATATATACAGCAATCTGCCACATAAGCTATCAAGTGGAAAGCAACCCTATCAAGTAGTATCAACCAAAGCCTCAACATCCTTTTCTTTTTCTCAAGGAGAAAGGAGATACTAAACCCACAAAATCAAATTTGAAAGTTCTTTTGGCATTTTAAGGGGCCTCTAAATGAAGAGCCAAAAGATGAAATAAAGAACAATACTTTAACAAGATACACAAATGGCAAACTTGGAGTTTTTTGCACCTATGACACACACACAACTCTATAGACAGAAATGATAAAGCTAGGACATTATTGTAAATTATTCTACATGTCTTATGAGAGAAGGAATGAAGTGCAAGATGTAGCATTAGCCAGGAGCAAGCAAAATTACAGCAAAAGCTTTAAACCCAGCATTTTTAACTTACTCGTCCACAATTACTAAATAAGCCTGCAAGTCGCTCTTCAGTAATCTAAAACAAAGAAAGAAATGATTTTCACAAGTGACTTCACCAAATCAGAATGAAACAATAAAAAATCACTCAATGGTGCTGTTTTCAAACTTACAGTCTGATCAATATCGGAAACATATACTGTTCGGCTAACACTATTGTCTCTTTGAGCTCGAAAAGCTTTAAACTTTCTTCTACACTGGTTGTAGTTATTTCTTCTCTGAAAAACACAACTATAACGATTTACCAAATTTAACCAAGGGAAAGAAAAAAGAACAAACACAAGACCATCACTTTTCAATATTCAGCATAACCTTATCCAACATATGATATGTTGAGGAAGAAAAGCTAACTCCAATTACATCAAAGTTCCAACAAGTCAATCAAATTAGTAATTAGACAATAACTAGGCCAGCAAAACACAACACTTTACCAATCCAAAGGGGAAAAAAATCAGAGACTAGTTCAAAATGCAGAATTGAATAAGCAAGGACACAGGAATCAAATTGCCAATTTAAATCCATTAGGATTAGAAAACAAAGCAAATCCTAAAACCCCAATTTAGCTATGCAATTGCAATCAAAATCATATCCACCAATAACCCAAAAATCTCAGAAAAAAGACCATTTTCCCACAAGACAAAAACAACCCAAAAAACAAATAAAACTATAAACTAGCAAACACCATCATTCAAAACATAAAAATAAGAAATAATGCAATTAGAAAAATGTAAATGATCAGTGAAAAGGAAATACCCTTCTATCGGAGTAATTCTCATTCCCTTGCTTATTAACAGGAATCTGATTAAAATCACCATTTTTGGTCTGATTATGATGATAAGATGATGGGAAAAATTCTTTTGCCAAAGGATTCAACTTTGTGAACATATCAACCAGCTTTTGCACATTGAATTCCTTTGATTCTGATTTGGCTGTTTCCACCACCATATTGTTGTTATTAGCAGCAGCTGCTGCTGCTGCTGCTGCCTCACCTGACTTGTCAGCAACTGCAGCCATAGAATCAAAACCACAAACACTCCACAGAAGGAAAACAAACTAATGATCAGAAGAAATGGGAATTTGCCTTTGTAAATTTATTCTCTTCGTATCTTCTTTCTCACCATAGAGCAAGAAAGTTGAGAGCTTTAGAGAAAAAAATATATTTTTTATAGTCAACAGATTCCCATTTGGAAAAAAATGAATTGTCTAGAAATGGAAATAAATTGAGAATGCAGATTGAGTTTCCTTGGATTTTTTTTTCTTTTTTTTAAAAATTAAATAGATAATAAATATATCAAATAATATTTATTATCAAATAATAAAAAATAAAAGAAAGAGACAAAGGAAAAGAAAGGGTTTTGGAGGAACGGAATAAATGACCATAAGAAAGAGGTTTTTTTTTTTTTTTTAAAAAAATTTTCTTTTTAAAAAAATAAAGAATTTAGTAGAAATAGGTGACGCTGAGAGAGGTAAAAGATGAATTAAGACATTTTGTTAGTTTCTATATATTTTTTTATATTTTTGTTATTTATTTATTATTAGAATTAGACTCGAGTTTTATTGTAGAATTTTTTTATTTTTTAAAATTATATTTTAAATATAAGAGAAGTAAAATTTTTATATCAAATTTTAGTCGATGAAAATATATAGACAAATGTAAACGAATTTATTTTTTAACATAAATTATAATTTAATTATATATAAATTAATTTTTATTAAATTAAGATATTAACTAATATTTTTATTAATATAATATATATAAAAATATAAATTTAATAAATAATAAAATATTTTGTTTATTTATTCAAATGACGGTTAAAGCAAACTATCTCAAATTCGATCTCGACTGGATTTAAATTGTTCAAAAAAAATACAATTTAACTTAATCTTTATCTTTAAAAAAATAATATCAATTGGATCTTGACGAATTGAAATTTATTGAATATAGATTATTTTATCATCCCTACATTTAATGACTTTTTTTTCTTTATAAAATTTATTTAATAAATTAATTTTAATGAAAAAATAACTAAAAAAATAAGTCAAATGGGGTGACACATAAATTTATTAAATTAAAGTATTAAATAATATTTTTAATAAAATACATATATAAATATATAATTAAATAAATAATAAAAAATATTATACATATATATCATAGTTGAAGTTAGCATCAAAAACTTTACTCTTATTTGAATTAAATAAAATAAAATTTAATCTAATTATCTCTAATTAAAAGAAAGCGCACAAATTGATTTCAAGTAAATCAAAACTCATCAAATATAAATTATTTTATTATTTCTATTTCAATTAACTTTTTTATTACAAAATTTATCTAATAAAAACTAAAAAAAAAACCCAAAAAATCAAAAAGCTTAAAAAAAAATTAAAAGATGAAAAAAGAGGGAAATACCACATAAACACCCGAAACAAAATAAAATATTATAAATCCATCTCCATACCAACCATATTTTAAAAAATCTCAATCTAATCTTTATTTTTAAAAAAGCACTTAAATTGAATTAGCACAAATTAAATCAGATACAAATTATTTTATTATCCTTACTTTAATTGGCTTTTTCTACAAAATTTATTTAATAAAACATGAAAGTTAGAAAACTAAATAAAAAGTTAAAAAATAAATTTAAATTTAATAAAAAATAAATAAAAACAAAAAATTAAAAAAAAGCATTAAAAAGGTATAGTTTTTAAGGAAGGGAGGGGTGCCATGTGGACACCCTTTCCTTCCTCAGTCTCCACAAAATTAATATACAAGATAAATTTAAAAAATAAATAAATAAATTTAGTAAAAATTAAAAAAACAAAAAAGCATAAAAAAGATAAGAGTTATGGAGGAAGTGAAAGGTGCCATATGGACACCCTCCCCTTCCTCCATTCTCTACAAAATTAATATATAAAATAAATTTTAAAAATAAATAAATAAATAAATTTAATAAAAAAGATAGGGTTTTGGAGGAAGGGAAGGGTGCCATATGGACACTCTCTCCTTCCTCCATTCCCAACAAAATTAATATATAAGAAAAAGTTAAAAAAAAAAACAAATAAAAATAGATTTAATAAAAAAGCAAAAAATTATAAAAAGAACATAAAAATTAATAAAAAATTAAAAATTAAAGTTAAAAAAATGCTGATGTTTGTCTTAAAAATGGTAAAAGAATTTCAATTTGTCTGCCATAATCATTTAATTGAGAATTTATTGACAAAAATTATTCTAGTTTTGATTCTTGAAATAAAAAATGTATAAAAAAGAATAATTAAAATATTTCAAAAAACAGAAAAGTTGATGCATTTATCTTGTTGGAATATCAAAATATTTTTTAAAAATAGAGCACTAAGAATATATTAAACCACTATTAGTTTTTTTTTTTTGAAGGTTTAATACCTTTAATTTTTCAAATATTTAAGCATAAAATTGTCTTTCTCCAAATATTTTTGGAACCAAATATTATCTCCTTGTGTAGGTAATAAAAAGGTTTTGGTGGTTAGAGGGCTAGAATTGGGACTTTTGGGAGCTGCCAAAGATAATGAAAGAATTGCTGACATTGCTAACCATCTGTCTTTTTCCTTGGGGCTATTTTTTTTTTATTATTACTAGTTTATGTTATATGATCTGTAACAATAAAATCTATTATATTTTTTTTTATGATAATTTGCATAGACCAAGGGTGTTAGTTAGAGAATAATTTTTTAAATATATATTTTTTATATAATTATTAGTATTATTTATTTCCCTAGAATTAATAGTGGGGGGAGGACTGTGTTTTTAGGTGACAAAGATCATTTACTTGTAATCTTAATTGAATGGTATGCAAGTTGCAATATTGAAAAGCTCCAATTTTGGCTCAAGTTCCATAAATAAAAGGGTAATAATGGGGGAATTTTGTTTCATGAGAACCGATTTTCTCATTTGTGTTTCCTTTTTTAATTTTTTTTCACTTGTTATCATCACTTTTGTACTTGGTTGCTTGTCCAAAATATGACACACCGCAATTTTCCCATCAACACTTTATTTTACAGAAGCTACTTAGCTAGATGAGATTCTTGTTCTATACATGTTCACCTGTGTTTTTTTCCCTGCCAATTTTTAGTCATCAACAGTTGTCTTATTTGTTAATAGAATGCCGAAATGATAAGGTTTGATTTTTCCGATCTCAATTACACAAAAAGATATTTAAAAAATTTGGAAAAGGAAGGAAACAAAATAAAAGAACCAATTTCATGAAATTAAAGAGCTTTTACTTATGATCAAATTAAACAACCTTCTGATACCATGAACTAATCTGCAACTAGTTGCCTCTTCTATGGCGTCTACAACCATTCTTCGACCTTGTCACTTTTCGAGGTTGATATCCTGCAACCATCATCACCAGCCACTGAGGGTTCCAGGTTGAAAACACCATAAACCCCATAGTCAATCCAAATATCACTCCACATCCATACCCCAAGAATACTACTTTCCATGCGAATCTAATTTTCGAACCTGAAACAATTTGTTCTCGCTCAAATGATTGCAGCGGAGGTGGTTGTGTTTCATTTTGGTTGCACTTTTTTTACAATGGAAATCCACATAATCCTAAGTTTCCTAGATAGAAATCGTTTGAAAAAGTATTGAACTGTTTGCCCTGTGGGATTTGTCTCTCAAGTTTGTTATACGAAAGGTTTAAGACTTCAAGGTATTTCAGATCCAACAACTTCTCTGGAATTTTCCAAGTAAGTTGTTTTGAAGAGAGGTCTAACCATTCAAGGTTTGTCAAAGATCCCATTGATGGTGGGATATGCCCCACAAGATTGTTATGAGAAAAGTTGAGCCCTCTAAGCGACTTAAGTTTTCCAACGTTTCTTGGAAGTTTCCCACTGAAGTTGTTGTTCGATAAATCAATCGTGGTGAAGATGATAAGTGTTGGTGTCAGCTATGAGTTGAGGGTTAAAACTTTTAAAATATAAAAGAAGAAAAAGAATGGTTGTAGGCAAATGTTAGGAGTTTTTTTAGTGTTTGCACTCCCACGCTTAAGTCAAAGATTGGACAAAGAAGAAAATAGGAGAATGAAAGTATGAAAATAAAAATGTGTGTGTGTCTTCTAGATATTATCTGGATGACTTTATTTATAGTTGAAGGTAAGGGACTTTGGGTCAACATAGGTTGCCTACGATCAGTTCTGTGGTAAGGATGACTTGGTTGGTCAAGCTAACTTGAACATTAATTGTCCACTTAAGGAATGACAAATCAGCATAAAAGGGGATCGTTAAGCAAGTTGTTGAGGTGGTCAAGCTGATGTGACATCGTACATGTTAGATTGACCTAATATGTTAGGTTGACCCAAAAGTCATAAATACCCCTGGCTACTTGTTGGTAGTCTCTAATGTGAAAAAAGACCATTTTGTCCATTGGATCCAAAAATGACCTTAGCATTTTATCTATCCCATTGAGCAATCTGAATATCAGACTATTAAGTGTAGTCTTAGTTTTCTTCGGTTTATACAAACCTAACATGTGCTTGATGTTACCAAACTTAATGAAGTGGGCTTCGAGATTTGCATCTAATTGGCTTAACCTATAGTCCCTAAGGTGAGTGGCTGTGGATGCCGAGGTGGATAGGGATTGGACGAGGCGAATTTATGTGTGATGGTCGACATAACTTGCACATGGGGAAATGTTGTATTTGATCATGACATGGTGGCCTATTTTTGTGTAGGCTAATGTGGGACTTTTGCTTTTTCTCTATTTTATAATTTAATTTTTTGACTTGGAATGTGGTTAACCTGGTGCGTTTCAGCTGTTTGATCAATGTGGGTAGGTAAAATGATCGATTTGCCCTTTTGTTACTTGAAAATAACATTTAATGAGAGGAAAGGAAATTAAGTAGTAAAACTAAAAGCTGGGGATATGAAGGGTTGTCTTCGATAATCGCTTTATACACATGGCACGATCTAGAGTGTTCCCTTGGTTATTTCATTAGCTATATTAAAAACCTTATACGACCTTCATCTTTCACTTTATAGTTTTTTTACTCTCGTGCCAATATTTTTTTTTCAACTTCGAACTTCTTGATTATATTTCAACCAACCTTCCTATTTTCATCTAGTTCAATATGCTTCTTTTCTTTTAATTATGTCTTTTGATTCAAGTTTTAAAAGTTTTAGGATAAAGCTAAGAAGAGGTTAGCTTGGTCAACAAGGTTCAGGTGATGAAGTCTCTTCTATG